AAACTGTGGTTGGCTATTTCAGATGACCTTAGTCTTCTTAGGGAAATAGGAAGTTAGGTCTTATGAAAAATGGGCATTGGGAATAAAATCAAGATATATTCTCATTTGTTAGGGCAGTATTAGTTAGGACTAAGAACTGTAACAGGTAGACTCAAAATGCAATGGCTCTACAGCATAGTCTCTAGGCCATAGAAATTTATTTCTTGCACCCACCCTTAGCAGTTCAGGGTGGGTGTTCAGATCAGGGGGCAGTTCCCTTCCTTGGTGATCATTTAGGGACACAGGCTCTGCCATTCTCTAGGGTCTAGAGAAAATGGGAGGAACATGCAGAGCATGCAAAGGAGGTTGTCACAGATCTGGCATGGAAGGAACACACACATTTCTGCTCACATCCCTTTGGAGGGACATTGATCATGTGCTGTCAACCAACTGTAAAAAGGACTAGAAGATGTTATTCTAGCTGTGTGCTCACAGGAGAGAACAGAGTTTGGTAGACAGCTAGTGGTTTTCACCACTGTGCTTGGCAGAAAAAATGGACCCCAAAGATGTCCACATCCTAATCTTTAGAACCTGTGAATATGTTACCTCATGTGGTAAAAGGGATTTTGAAGATATTTAGGATCTTGAAATGAGGTAGTTATTCTGCATTGTTCCCCTGGGGCATTATACTTGAAAGGGAGGCAGGAGAGTCAGTCAGTATCAGAGGGATACAGCATAGAAAGACTAGCATAGCCACTGTTGACTTTGAAGATGGAAGGGAACCATGAACTAAGAAATTTGGGCACCCTGTAGAAGCTAGGGGAAAAAAAAGAGTGGGTTCTTCTCTAAAGCCTCCAGAAAAAATGCAACTCCTGCTGACACCTTGATTTTAGCCCAATGAGATTCATTTCAGATTCTTGATCTCCAGAACTCTAAGATAATATGTTTATATTGTTTTAAACCACCAAATTATGGTGATTTCTGCAGCAAACAGAAACTAATACAAACCACATGTGGTAATTCCTTTTTTAAAAAATTACTTATTAGTGGTATAAAGCATTATGTTAAAATTTAAGAAGACAAAACTATGTGTTGACTTTCCACTTTTTGCAGAAGCCTATTGACTGTCTTATGAACTCTCAGGGATTAGTCAGGGCTGGAGGACATTAACATGGAGAGGTTCCAAAACAGCAGTTCTCAAAATGGGATCCCCAGACCAACATAATCTGCCTAAGAACTTGTAGAAATGGAAATCCTCAGCCATCTCAGCCTTACTAAATCACAGAATCTGGGATCTAGCAGTCTGTGTTTAACAAGTCCCCTGGGGCCCAGCAGGCTGTGTTCAGTTTGAGACACTTTTGCTCAAGTTTGAGAACCACTATTCTAGGACTAAGGGACTATTCTAGATTGAAAGAAACTAGAAAGCAAAAATGAATTAGCAAGGCATGATTATAAGCTGGATCTTTTTGTTCCAAAGGACATTATTGGAACAATTAAAGAAATCTGGATGGAGTCAGAGAATTCGTAGTAATGCATCAGTATTAATTTTCTGATTTTGATGGTTGTGGGGTGGTGATGTAGGTGGTCGTGGCTTTTAGGAAATATACACTAAAAATATGCAGATATAATGAGGTGCTTCACTTGTAACTTCACTTCACTAGTAACTTGTGAATTTGTGAATTCTCAAGTGATTCAAGGGGGGAAGTTTTAAACACTAGTTTCCATTTTTCTTTGAGGCTATTTCAAGATTTTTAGAAGTTTTTGGGGAAAAAAACCCAGCATGATACCATTTTTCAAATATCAGCTTGGCAAGCGTAAAAAATGTGGCGAAGGTATAGGAAAACAGTTTCACACACCATTGTTGGAATTATATGTTGTAATATTTGGGGAGGGCAATTTTATAATATCTATCAAAAACTTAAAAGCAAAATTTGTCTCAGAAATTGTGCTGAGGGTAAAGAAATACATTTTATTGCAAATGTATAAGGTAATATATTTATACTAGAAAAAGACTGGAAACAACTGAAGTGTTTATCATTCAGTTCAGTTCAGTCGCTCAGTTGTGTCCAACTCTTTGCGACCCTATGAATCGCAGCACGCCAGGCCTCCCTGTCCATCACCAACTCCCTGAGTTTACTCAAACTCATGTCCATTGAGTCGGTGATGTTTATCATTAGGTGACTGGTTAAATAAATTATAGTATAACATATGCGATGAGTTACCTGACTTTAGACCACAACTTCTGTAGGTCTTGAACCAACTTCCCTTTTGCAGTGTAACAGTCAGGTTAGTCAGGAACATATAATCCACTCTAAGTATTTGGATGGAGGGAATCTAATGCAAGGGACTGGTGACATACTCAGTGATCTGCATCAGAGAAAACTGGTACAGATACAGCTTTTAAAATAACAATGCTCAAGGACATAAAAGACAAATTTGAGAATTTGGAATGTTATAAAAAAGGAGGCAGATGGAAATTCTATAACTGGAAAATAGAATATACACATAAAAGCAGATTACACAGTGAATTGGAAGGTAAGTTATATCCAGAATGAAGCCAGGTACGAAGTAAAGGAACAAAGGGATGGGAACAAGAGATTAAGAGGCATAAGTGATACAATGAGAAGGTCTAACATACCTTTAGTTGGAGTCCCAGAAGGAAATTACAAAGAGAATGGTATAGAACTAATATTCGAGCACACAATGGCTGAAAATTTACCAAAACTAAAGGAAGATACATATCTACCAGTTTAACAGCCCAAAGAATCCCAAGGAGGATTACTTATTAAAGAAAGAAAAGTCCATATCTATACATATCATAGTAAAACTGGGATAAACCAAAGACAGAGAAAAAAAATCTTAAGCCATTAACAAAAGAATATATTAAATGGACAGATGAACAGTTGACTGCTCACCAGCTGACTTCTCACCAAGTCAGAAACTGGTGGTTTGGTGCCTCCAGGGTGACAACAGAATATCATGCTCAACCTAGAATTCGATTTCTAGAAAAAAATGTTTCTTAAAAATGAAGGTGGAAACTGAAAATATCACATCATAAATCAGCTATATATACATATTTATTGCTCAGTCATGTCTTACTCCTTGTGACCCCTTGGACTGTAGTCCGCCAGGCTCCCCTGTCCATGGAATTCTCCAGGCAAGAATACTGGGTGTGGGTTGCCATTCCCTTCTTCAGGAGATCTTCCCAACCCAAGGATCAAGCCTGGGTCTCCCCTATTTCAGGCAGGTTTTTTTTACTGTCTGAGCTACTAGGGAAGCCCAATACTCTGATAAAATAAAAAGTTTAAGGGAAAGGAAGAATGAAGGTAGAATAACAGGACAGAATGTTTTAAATGACGTTTTTCAAACACAAGGAAAATGACCTCACAAGGAAAGTGAGGGAGGGAGAGAAGAATGAAGAGCAATATGAAAGTAAAATAGTAAATATGTGGATAAGTGTAAATAAACATTTGATGTAGAAATAATAATGATTTTTATGACATATTTATATACATTTACATATACATAATTAATATTCACAAAATAGCATATAAGGCAGGAGATAAATAGTTAAAGTATTTAAGATCCTTTCATTATCTAGGATGAAGATAAAACTAGGTTTTCATAAGTCAGGGATGGATCGTTTATTTCCTTGCCCATTAAAAGAAAAGCACAAACTTCCAAATCAAAAGAGGGAAATAGAATAATTCTAATCTAATCTGAAAGAAAGAAAAGAGATAACAATTTAAATCATGTGGGATAAATAATAAGCATTGTGGGGCTTCCCTGGTGGCTCAGTAGTAAAGAATCCACCTGCCAAACAGGAGACGGGTACGATCCCTGATTTGGAAAAATCCCACATGCCACGGCGCAACTAAGTCCATGTGCCACAACTATTGAACCTGCGCTCCAGAGTCCAGAAGTTGCAACTACTGAAGCCCACACACTCTAGAGCCCATGCACCGCAACACAAAAAGTCACTATAAGCAGAAGCCTGTGCACTGCAATGAAGAGTAGCCTCTGTCACCGCAACTAGAGAAAAGCCCACACAGCAACAAAGACCCAACACAGCCAAAAATAAAATAAATAAAACTATTTAAAAGATAATAAGCAGTGAATTAAACTAACCCAAACATATTGGAACTTATATATTAAAGACCTAATACCCATGATAAAAAAGTTATCAAACTGATTTAAAACAACTACATGCTATTTCAAGAAGCACATTTAAACCAAGGATACAGAGGGAATTCCCTGGCAGTCCAGTGAAAGTCCACTGGACTTAGCCCTTTCACTGTCACGGCCGGGGATTCAGTCCCATCCCACAAGTGGCACAGAGTGGCCATAACCCCCCCCCCAAAACAAAGAAAATACCCAAGGATGCAGAAAAGGTTGAAAGTGAAAGGATGAGAAGAGTTATGCTGGACAACAATAATGAAAAAAAAGCTGCTGTTACTAATACCAGAAAAAAAATAAGCCAAAGGCATTACTACAGAGTTTTACTTCTTTAAGTAAGGAAGATGTAGCGAGTGTGTAATTGCATGTACCTAATGACATGGCCTCAAATATATTATGCAAAACCCACATAACTGTAAGTAGAAATGGATAACTCAACAGTTATCTCATTAATTGATAGAACAAGTGGATAAAAATTCATAAGGAAATGATTTGAACAATACATTACAAAATTGATCTAATGTCTTTATCTAGGTGACTGCACCCAGAGTCTGCAGAACACATGTTCTTTTCTAATGCTTGTGGAATCTTCATTAAGGTCAAACACACACTGGGCCATAAACAAATCTCTACAAACATAAAAGGATAGCAACCATATACAGTATGATTTCTAACCAAAATGCAATAACAAAATTATAACTAGGAATTTCCTGTATGTTTCAAAGTTTAAAAATACACTTCCAAATAACCTAGGGTATCTGTTATAATTATCTGTGCTTTGTTCTTTCTTATTGTCCCAGAAGTCTACCAGAAGAGAATTTTAATTCTCTTTTCAAAGTACCAACCTTGACTTTTGATCCTGTTGTGTTACAGTTTCATTGCTTTTTACTCTCTTCTTTATCTCCTTTAACTTTTAAAAATAAGACAGATCATTAATCAACTTAACAATAATGTTTATGTGAAGTTTTATAAAATACAAAGTGCTTTCTCATTAATCCTCAAAGCAACCTTGTGAGTTGGGTCTTTTCCTTCATTTTTACAAATGGGGAAATTATAGATAATTATCACATTCACCAGAATACTGACCCCAGACCAGAGGAACTTCTCCCATTCCAGGGCCTCCTTTTATTCTCTGAGGTCTTCAGGAACACTTACCCACAACAGCCATGGTTAAGATGGTGGAAGCTTGGCTCTCACCAATCCTTCCTTCAGTAGTCTCCAGTATGCCTATTACCAAGAAAACAGAGGGATGGGGAGGGAGTGGGGAGAAAACTGTGTACAGCATGAGTGGGCAGGCTGCCTAGCCAGAGAAGCAAGTGTGAAGCAGCCCTTGATCAACTCAACACTCTGGGTCACTGGACTAGAGCTGGAGGCTCTTCTTGTTGACCCCTTTTCCAGAAAAAAAAAAAAAAAAAAGCATATTTGCTTAGAAACAATGGATTGCTTGCTTAGAAGCAAATACCACAGGGTAAACATATCCAAAAAAAAATTTCTTCTCAAACCTTGTGTGGGGTAGTCCTTGGGGGATTTTGTTGGCTTGAAGATGGGGCTGTATTCCATTGCCTGAGTGTCCGTCTAGATGTATGAATCCTTGGACAGGGGCCATCACACTGTCAGACTTACTTCCCACACCCTTCTACAAATGCTTCTCATTCCAAGCACATTTCTAAGGGCTCTAATAACAGTAACCTCCCCAACCCTCATTACAACCTCTGAGGTTGTCACCATTATTATCCCAACAAGAGGTAGATGAGGACACATGAGCAAAAAAAGCAGAAGGTTTAGTTACTTGCTTAGTCATCCGGGAATAAGTGAGAGTCCTTGCTTGAACCCCAGCTTCATGGCGGAGAGACTGCTCTTGGCTACTACACTGTGTTGCCTCTCTGCGTGGGATTCACACAAACTCCTTCCTGAGCATAACTGATACTATTCACAGCCTGAGAAGAACTGCCAGGTCTAAATGGGAACACTCAATGGAAAGAAAAATCGAGTTAAATATTCTGACTTCCTTCTGCATGCCTCCAGTCAAGGCCCTCAGCTGAGGTTGGGGAAGAGGCATGGAGAGACTTCCCAGGCCAGAGAATTCCCTAGGAAACCTTAAGGTCCTGATGCAGACAGACTTCAGGTCCCAACTGTCTGTCCTCAGCTAGCTGATCCTTAGGTGACCATGTCTCATTTTTTAATCTCATGAGGGAAAAGTTCCCTTGCATTTCATAGCTGATATTCAGAACTTTTTACCCATAGTGTCTCTGTACATAAACCCTGATGAAATCATTTTTCAGGCTTTTGCTTTCAGACAGATTCACTAGAAATAGAGTGCGCTCCTATGGAAAGCTTTTTCAAACTTACTGTTTATCAAGGTTTTCCCTTCCCTCTCTATTGCTTCTCCCTCCACTCACTCCTCCTGTGAGATCCATAAGGACTGAACTCACTTCAGAATCTTTCCCATACTCCTCCCAACTGTGTGACCTTTAGTAGGTCTTGTTTCTTTCCCCCTAGGAATTTTCTCAGTTCAAATAAAATTTCTAATTTATTGGCACAAAACTGTGATATAATATCTTATTTTTTTAATGTCTGTAGCATTTGTAACACAAAACTTAAGAAATCTGCTGAGACTTCAAGGGAATTTATTCAAACTGTTGTAACAGGGAAAGATTTAAAGGGAATGTCTCTCCAAACATGAGGAATGAGAGGTTTTACACGGGAAAGAAACAGAAGCAGCACTGAATACTGCAGTTTTGGTAGGTATTGCGATTTTTTTTTTTTTTTTTAGTTATTGCAGTCTTACAGAAATGAGTTGTGCTTCTTTCTGATTTGGCTCATCGTGACTGTTACATTCCTGTTCTCAGAATTGTTGAGTCAGGAGTTTAGGAGTGAGCTATTCTCTCAGAATAGCAGAGAGCAAGGAGGTCAGTGTATGTTCAGAGAAGAAAAATTTACAGTTCTCTGTATTCTCCCTTTTTATCCCTGACTTTGGTTATTCAGGCTCTTTTTTTCTTGTTCAGTCTCACCAGAAGTTTGTCAGTTTTATTAATCCCTTCCAAAACACAGACATTTGGCTCTGGTCTCTATGTTTTTCTGTTTTGTTAGTTTCTGCTGTTTATTACTTCCTTGTTGTAACTTCCATTAGGATATGATTTTCTTTTTGAAGTGTTGCTTAGGTGATTAATTACCAGGTTTTCTGATTTTCTGAAATATCTTTTAAGCTATAAATTTCTAAGCACTAAGCAATATCTCTGCAGTTTTGATATGTAGTATTTTCATTATCATTCAGTTGAAAATACTTTCTTAAAAAAAAAAGAAAGAAAATACTTTCTTCTTTGAACAGTGATTTTAAAATGTTTATGCAAATTTCTGAATAGACATGCTTTATACATTTTTAAAATTAATTTCTAATTTCAGTTATGTAAATTTTGTTCAGATTTACTTTCTGGTCCAGCATATTTGTCAAGCCCCCCACCCCAGCTTTACTGAAGTATAATTGACACATAACATTGTGTAGGTATTTTTGAAAATATTTCATGTGTTCTTGACAAAATATATGCATCCTTGAAACACTGGTGCAGTGTCCCATACATATATATTAAAATGCTTTTAATCTTATTGTTTAAATCTGTATCTTTACCAATTTTTAGTCTGCTTGTCCTATTAATTAATTAGAGAGGTTAAAGAAATAACTGTGGATGTTATGTTTTTTTGTGTTCTGAATACTTTTTAGGTAGATACTTAGAACTGTTCTATCTTTTCAGTGTTTTTCTTTCCTGAATGTTTTGTCTTTAATGTAACAACTCCCTTTATCTCTAAGAATGGTTTGTGCCTTGAAGTCCCTGCTCTATCTAATATTAGTAGAGCTACATCAGTTTTATGTTGGCTTCATAGAACTTCTTTCCATTCTTTTACTTTCAAACTTAGTGTCCTTATATTTGAGTCTCTTTTAAGTAGTAGTGCAGTGGGGTTTTGTACTTTCACCCTGTGTGCTAAGAATTTGCAGGTTGGAATCCTAATACCCAATGTAATGATGTTAGGAGGTGGGGGCCTTTGAAGGTGATTAGGTCATCAGGGTTGGGCCCTCATGAGTAGGATTGGTGCTCTTATAAAAGACACCCCACAAGATTCTCTAATCCCTTCTGCCATGTGAGGATATAAGAAGTCTATAACCCTGAAGAAAGCCTACACCCAACTATGCTGATCTCCAATCACTCTGGACCTCCAGCCTCCAGAATTAAGACATTTTAATACATTTTTTGTTATGTATAAGCCACCTAGCATGTGGTGTTTTGCTGTAGCAGCCCAAAGACACTACCTGACAATCTTTGTCATTTAGTGAAATTAAATTATGCCTAAATATTGTGGGGGTTTTTTTTGGCTTAAGATTTACCATCTTTATTTCTTTTTTTTTGGTCTCACCCCTCTTTTTTTTTAACTTACATTTTTAATTAAACATTTTTTCTATTATTATCAAATTTGTATGTTCTATTTTTATGATTCCTCTAGATTTCACAATATTAATGAGAGTAACCAAAACCTTCACCCTAATACTTCGATCCATTTTACTTTCTTGTGATTTATATATCACTGTTTTCTGGTATTTTAAGTATATCTTAACAACTGTACATTTTTATTGTTTGGTATAAAACTCTGTTACATTTTATATGTATTTTGCTCTTCATTCCTTTTCACATCTAAAAGTCCAATCTGAGATCACTTTCCTTCTATAGTACATTCTTTAAAATTTCCTTTAGTAAGGGTCAGTAGGGGATGATTGAAACAAAATTGTCTTATGTGCTTATTTTGTCCTCATTCATAAAAGGTATCTTCATTGGGTACAAAATTCTAATTTGACAGTTATTTTCTACCTTTATACTGACATTTTCATTCTACTCATTTGGATTCTGTTGTTGCTGTTGGGAAGTTTGTTCCTTTGAAGGTAATTTTTTTTTTTCTTGATTTCCTGCTGTTGCACTATGATGCTTGTAGCTATGATTTGATAAATTTATCCTAATTTGTATTCTTTGGGCTTTAAATCTATAGACTTGTTATTTTTCATCAGTTCTGGAATATCCTCAGCCCAATTACCTTTGCCTTTTTCCATCTTTGCCTTTTAAGACTGTGATTAAATATACATTAAACTTTCCAGTGAGACCTTCCCATGTTTGTGTTTTCCCATATTTCTCTATCTCCGTGGTGCATTCTGGATAAAACTTCAATCATATCTTCCAGCTCACCAATTCTTATTCCCCCTATTTCACCATCTGTTGCCAAATCTTTAAATATTTTAAGCAGTTGTTCTCACAAACATACCCATTAATTCTAATGTGAAGTCTATGTGGGTCTGTTCTTTTCTGCTGGTTTTCACTCATGCTTTTTCCCTTGTGCCTGATTATTGTTTCTGATTATTACCCCTGAAAAATTGTTACCTGAGGTCTAGATTGAAGGAGTCCTCTTCCAAGGAAGTTTTGTTTGCTTCTGGTTGTCTTTACCTGGGTTGTAAGGGTTGGTCAAGGACCACAATCTGTTAGGGATGTTCTTTTTCTTCTACTGCTGTGCTTGGCAACAAAAGTACCCTGGGGATGGGTCTAGATTTGGTTTATCTGGTCCAGACGGTGTAGCACTCTGGTAACCCAATCTAACTTTGGAAGTCACCTGTAAGATTCATCACCCTGGGTGAGCCTGGCCCTATCATCCTTCTATTTCTCTCACTCTTTGTGGCTGGTGAAGTGGGGCCTAACTCTTCTATAGCATCAGCACAGTCTGGGGGCTAAGCCGCTTTGGTGTTAATATCTGATGACAAGACCCCATCTTAAAACAACTCTGCCTGTTTAAACTGCAGTCTTTTCAGACTCCAGGCTCTTTTAAGGGGAAGGGAGGGCATGCCATCTGCATTTTTAAAAAACGTTTTTAGGGACTTCCCTTTTGGTCTAGTGGCTTAGGATCCACCTTGCCATGTAGAGGATGTGGGTTCGATCCCTGGTCAGGGAACTAAGATCCCACAAGCTGCAGAGCAACTAATCCTGCTCACTGCAACTACTGAGCCAGTATACTCCAGAATCCACAGGCTGCAATGAAAGATCCTGCATGATGAAACAGAGATCCACTTGCTGCAAACAGGATCAGAGGCAACCAAATATTTTAAAAATATATTTTTTTGTAAGAAATCACTTTTCAGTATTTTTTCTGGGAAACTGATCCAAATAACTGAGACAACCTTCACCAGAAACAAAGTACTATCTCACCTTTGATATCATTTTTCCTTTTCTAGCCTTTGACATTTTCCAGTTCAGATTTTTCAAATTGTACTTTATTTCTATCCTTCTAGTGCTTACCCATGACATTTACCATTTTAAACAGCATCTTGACCACCCTGTCAAATAATCCAAGCATTTAACCCACTTTCACACAATGTTCCAGCCTCCAACTTACCTACTATTGTCCAAATTCCATTTATTTTTTAGCCTTAATGGCACTTTAAAAAAATACAGTGTTTCAATTTACCTACACGTTGGCAATTTTTTCTTCTTGGATATCAGATGTTCTTTGGGAGAAGTGGGGGTTCAGTTCAGTGGGGGTTAGTGATCCCTAAACTAGCTCAAGTCCTGATGAGGGCTTAACTAGGTGCAGCTGCACCAGCTTGTTGGATCTGTTCTACACAGTCTGCCTGTTATGGCTGGAGACCCAAAGACTCCCTCCTCTTCTGGAACCACTCCAAGCAGTACATATCTGGCCCTAGGTAGACTGTGGCTCATTCTCCATGTGCCTGAGTCAACAGAGTTTGTAACAGGAGCATGTCCTGGTGCTCAGTAGGCTGGGGCATTCAGAATTCCCACCCGTGCATTACATATCTTCTCCGTTGTTATTTAACCCATGTCTCTTTTGAAAGTAAGTGATGCATTAGGTCCACGTGAACTCATGTAGGAGTGTTTGTGTGTGTGTGAGGGGGTTGGGAACTTCAGGCCACAGGCACACCAACAGCCCTGGCCACGTGGAAACCTTAAGTAACCTGATCAAACAGAGCTGCCCTATATCCAGCAAATGAAAGCTTGGTAGATGCTCAGTGACTACTAGGAATCAATACTGCATGGCCTCTTTCCTTTCTGCCCACTGTACACCAGACCTCCAGGGACTGGCCCCCTCTGGACAATGCAGGCATTTCCAATGCTGCCTCTGACCAGGCCATCCTATTTCCCATTCTCTTAAGTAAAAGACTCAACTCAATATCCTGTTCAGATGTCACTAGTGCCTCGTTTCCCAGTAGGTGGAGATCACTTTCCTCACAAAGCATAAAGTTTAGTTCAGCATCCATTAGAGTGGTTTTGTGGTGGCCACTGTCCTCTATCTACTGCTGCCTAGCACATGAGACAATGGATGTGTCTAGCAGATCCTTAACAAGTATTTGCTGAATAAACTAATCCAAGTCTATGGACAGGGTCAGGTTTGTCAGTGCTGCAGGTGGAGGACAAAAAGCAAGTGTGGTTGTGACATTCCAAAGTGGAAATTAGTGACAGAAATGCTCTTGCTTTCTCCCTTTTCCACCACCATCCCTCCCTCCCACCACCATCAAAACTTACCTTGTTTGGAAGCAAGTGGAAGAATACTTCTAAAGAGAGGCATGGAAACTATGTGTATAAAAACAGGAATCCTAGAGAGAACCAAGAAGCTATCTGACTAAACACTGTCCTCTTGTAAAGAGTGGAGTTTGGAGCCAGAGAGACTTGACTTAGAATTTGGCCTCTACTGATAAGCCCCACCAGGAAAATTCCTGGACAGGTTACTTAATTCTAAAAAGACTCACTTTTCATTCTTTGCGTTACCTAGTTAATAGTCTTATATATGTGTGCTAAGTTGCTTCAGTCGTGTCCAGCTGTTTGCAACCCTGCAGACTGTAGCCCACCAGGCTCCTCTGTCCATGGGATTCTCCAGGCAAGAATACTGGAGTGGGTTGCCATGCCCTCCTCCAGGGGATCTTCCCAGGGATTGAACCCATGTCTTCTGCATTGGCAGGTGGGTTCTTTACGACTAGTGCCATCTGGGAAGTCTCCAGTCTTACATATAGTTAACACTATATGTAAATTCTGTCTGGTCCCAAGAGAACAGTTTCTATTTTGTGACTGACCACTCGCCCAACCTGTCCACTCCTAGGGGTTATTATCCAGCCCCAGTATGAGGATCAATCCAATCTTCACTTCTGGTGGAGGTACCACCTAATTTCTCATAAAATCTGAGCTACTCGCCCTGAGGGATGAGTCCCCTGCTGCCCTCCTTGGTCTGCATCTGGTATAACTTACCCTACAAAGACAAGACACACAAATGGCTCTCTGTGTGTTCTTCCACCTAAAGTATGTCACAGCCTGTTTACTTTTGAAGAATTCCTTTATTGGAGTTTTACCTTACCTTGCCACAACTATCTGGCTCTTCATGGCTGAGAGTGAGCCCTGAACAGAAATTCGTAACATTTTACAACAGACAATAAACACATGTAGTGCATGAAATCTTTACAATAACACAAACAATCAAACATTTAACAAGATTGTTAAGAAGCAGGAATTTTCTCCTATCCCCCAATAACAGATAGCTACTTAGCTTTTCAGGTCCTGCAATAAAATGCCCTCCTGCTCAGAATTCCTATACATAGGAATCCCTGAATCAATTTTTTCTGCATGTTGAGGATGTGTTCCATTAGTTATTAAATATGCTAAATTTCCATCCATGGTAGAACCCTGCATTTGTAGCATAATGTGTGATATTTTCACTTATCACATATTCATGATTCATTAAGGGTATTTATTTGAAAATTTTTAAAGTTTCACCCACTCAATAGTGTATATCACAACATTACAACAGTATAGTCCAATCAACTTGAATTTATTTATGAGTGACTCTCTATTTTCTTAAGATTTATAAGTCTGTACTTTTTACATTTCCTACAATGAAATTCAAATTTTCACAAGTTGCCATCACTCCCCCAAATCAATTATATCAAAGTTATTCTTCATGACCACTACTATATTAATTTATATTCCCTGAAGCCTGTTTCCTTTCCCTGAATTAGCCTACTGGAGGTCCTTCTTGGATCTTTTCCACTGAACAACGGATAACTGGAATTCAAAGCTATTCCTGAATTTCCTACATTCCTACTCAGAGACTTTACCCATATATGAACTTTCTGTTGGTGACTATGTGACTTCTAATTGAAGTCTTTTTCTCATATGTATTTCTTACATCCAGAAATGTCTACTTATTTTGAAGACTTTTTTCATACTCCATCACTTCGACAGGTTTTATTCCCAGCATGAATTAAATATTTTATATTCCATAAGGGCTCACCTACTTCAACACTGGAACCTTCCTTGCTGGCTATGACTGAAAATCACAGAGAAAAGAAATCACTCATGGTTTCGTTTATACTGTGAAAATTATAAGCCACGAACAAGGACCTCAAATACTCTGATAAAGTTTTTCTTCCATTTGCGCTCCCTGATACTTGGTAAACTCTGCCCCCTACAGAGACATGCTCATCCTGGCCCCATCCAGAGCGTTCCCTCCCTCATGAGTTCTCTTCTGGGATGTGCCACTGTGACTTCCCATATTTGTCACATTTAAATATTCCTCTCCAGTATGGATTCTTTTATGCTTGGTGAGATTTGATCTGATATTAAAAGCCTTCCCACACTCGTTACATTGGTATAGCTTCTTTCCAGTGTGGATCCTTTTGTGTTGGTCAAGGACTGATCTATAATTGAAGGATTTCCCACACTCACAATTATAGGGCTGCTGCCCACCATGGACACTTTTATGGTTGATAAGACTGGAGTGTGAGATGTATGCCTTCCCACACTCATCACATCCATAGGGTTTCTCACCTGTGTGTATCCTTTTATGCACTGTGAGGCCTGAGCTGTTCCTGAACGCCTTCCCACAGCCATCACACACATAGGGTTTTTCCCCCGTATGAATCCTCTTGTGTTGGGAAAGGAGTGAGCTATAACTGAAAGACTTCCCACATTCAACACATTTGAAGGGTTTCTCCCCAAGATGGACTCTTTTATGGCTTATAAGAGTTCTGTTTGAGAAAAAAGCTTTTCCACATTCATCACATGTGTAGGGGGTCTTGCCAGGGTGGGTACTTTTATGGTTAATAAGGCTTGAGTGTGAGATGTAGGCTTTTCCACACACATCACATTTATAGGGCTTCTCACCAGTATGAATTCTTTTATGCACTTTAAGGCTTGAGTTGTTTCTGAAGACTTTTTCACACCTGTCACATTCATAGGGTTTCTCTCTAGTGTGGACCCTTCTGTGTTGAGAAAGAAGTGAGGTGTAGTTAAAAGATTTCTCACACACATCGCATTTGTAGGGCTTCTCCCCAAGATGAATTTTTTTGTGATTTATAAGGGTTCGGTATGTGATAAAGGCTTTCTCACACTCATCACACTTATAGGGCTTTTCCCCAGGGTGTACACTTTTATGATTTATAAGGCTTGAAAGTGAGATGTAGGCCTTCCCACATTCTTCACATTTGTAAGGTCTCTCCCCAGTGTGGATTCGTTTATGGACTTTGAGGCCTGAATTATTTCTGAAGGCTTTTCCACACTCATCACACCCAAAGGGTTTCTCCCTTGTATGAATCCTTTTATGTTGTTCAAGGGCAGAGCTGTAATTGAAGGATTTTTCACAATAACTACATTTATAGGGCTTCTCCCCAAGATGGATTCCTTTGTGGTTTTTAAGGCTAGAGCGTGAGATATAGGCTTTTCCACACACATCACACTTATAAGGTTTTTCCCCAGTATGGAGTCGCCTGTGGACTTTGAGTCCTGAATTGTTTCTGAAAGTTTTTCCACAGACATCACATACATAAGGTCTCTCTCCAGTGTGAATTGTTCTATGTTGAAGAAGAAGTGAGTTATAGCTGAATGATTTTCCACACTCCTTACATTCATGGGCTTTCTTCCCAGGGTGAATGCTTTTATGGACTGCCAGGCCTGAGCTATAGCTGAATGCTTTGCCACAGACATCACATTTGTAAGGTTTCTCTCCTGTGTGGATCCTTTTATGCACAATAAGGCCTGAACTGTTCCTGAAAGCCTTCCCACATTCATCACATTCATAAGGTTTCTCTCCAGTGTGGATAACTTTATGCTGAATGAGGAGAGAGCTATAATTAAATGATTTTTCACACTCATCACATTTATAAGGTTTATCTCCAAAGTGGATGCTTTTATGATTTAGAAGTGTTCTGCAGGTAATGAAGGCCTTCCCACACTCATCACATTCATAGGGTTTCTCCCCTGTATGAATCCTTTTGTGGACTCTAAGGCCAGAGCTATTACTGAAGGTTTTCCCACAGATGTCACATTCATAGGGCTTCTCACCTGTGTGGATCCTTTTGTGGACTCTGAGGCCAGAGCTGTTCCTGAAGGCCTTCCCACACTCACCACACTCATAGGGCTTCTCCCCAGTGTGAATTCTCTTATGCTGATCCAAAACTGAGCTATAATTGAAGGATTTTCCACACTCATCACACTTACAGTTCTTTTCCCCAGAATGGGTGCTTTTGTGGTTTATAAGGCTGGAATAGGACATGTAGGCTTTCCCACATTCCTCACACTTGTACGGCTTCTCCCCAGTATGGATCCTCTTGTGGACTCGAAGGCTTGAGCTGCTCCGGAAAGTCCCTCCACAGTCATCGCACTCATAGCGTTTTTCACCAGTGTGCATAATTTTATGCTGAACAAGTCGGGAATTGTATTTGAAGGATTTTCCACAGTCATCACATTTATGTGATTTCTTAACAGCACTGGCTTTTTGCTGTAGACTGGGATGAGAGTTTCCATTAATGCTCTCCACACATTTTACTTGTTCACTGTTTTTCTGTTCTATAGGGACAGTCTGGTGTATGACATATTTTGAGCTCAGATGTAAGCTTTTCTCAGATGCCTCATCTTCCTGTTCTGTCTTTATATTTGCTGTATTCCTGGCTTTGCCAATCTTTTCCCTGATGCCACTTTTGTCTTCCTTCATTCTTTTTCCCTCAGGCTTGTCCATCTGATTTTCTACCTTGCTATCCCAATCACAAGTTTCACCAACCTTAGACTCCTGAATATGATCCTTGTGAAGACCTTCCACTTTTGGCCATATAGATTCTGCATTTCCAGTATTTTCATACTTTTCAGTTGATTCCTCATCCTCAGTGCCCCTCGTCTTCAAATGTGACACTAAACCAAGAAAATGAAAATGATACCTTCACTTTAGAAAAACTGAAGGAATTAATATCCAAATTCACTCATTCACTCCACAAATGTTTACTGACCACATACGGTGTGATAGGTACCATTTTTAACTGCTAGGGATACAATCATGGACGTGCCAAAATTTCTGCCCCTGCAGAGTAATGTTAAAATGCTAGATCCCTGGGTTGCCAATGGAACAGAGACGTTTTCTATTCCTGAATAACAACTCAGCATGATGACAAGTTGAAATGAACTGGAATGATGCACAGAATCAAGGGCAACATTGACCAGTTGTTGAAAAATATCACCTAGTCTCTGAAAACCAAACAGAGGGTCCAAAGAGTCTCTGAAGAATAGGAGACAGAAAGATTAATAAGACAAAAGCTAAGAAGTCATAATCAGCAGAGGGTTGGCAAAACTAAAGGAGAAATCAGTACATGAGTGAAGGTAAAGGGGAGTTGGTTATGAAATCATGAGGACAGTCATGTCAGAGATGAGAAAGAAAACAAGCTGCAGATGCCTGTTGCTGGTATAGCCTTCTGGATTTCCTCTCCAAGGAAAACACTGACCCTGGAGAGTGGTTTAGTCAGGGAAGAACTCTACATGGAAGAACACACTCTGGCTTGCCAGGCAGAGGCATTCATTCCCACTTTATGAACAGGCTAACGGCAGTCAGAGCATATCAAAGATCAGAAGCTAAAATACAAACTGTCAAGCAAAGGAAACGATACTGCCTAGGCATAAATACCTAGCTGTATGAGCCCCAAAAAAGTTACTTAAGCTCTTTATGCCAGTTTCCTCATCTGTAAAATGAGGGCAATAGAACTGATGTATTAAATAACATATATAAGGTATGGAGAACACTGCCAGTCACTTGGTTAATTCTATATGCTATAGCACCTAATTCATTATTTAATCAAGATCAGGTTATTGGATCAGGGTTGGAACCTGGGGATAAACCACAGGACTCAGAAAAGGCAAACTCCTCAAAGCAGATTTTAAGGCAGTGACTCCTTATTCCCTTGAAGGCACTCTACACACAGCTGGCACTCTGTCAGCATGCACCTGCTAAAAGACTGACTCTTGAGAACAGAAGCAACACTTCTAACTTAGTTGTCTCCCAGCCTTAGACAATTAGACATTTGTAATTAGACTTAGTTAACATTCAGACCTCTCTCTTACCTGGGTATCAGACCCCCCTTGGTCAGTATTCTGTAATTCTACTTAGAAACTCTATGTGTGAACATGTGATAAGAAAGCAGAGGCAATAAAAGAAAAGTAAAATATATACTCTGGAGTGGACACATATAAACACCTGCACTCATGATCCAATTTATGCTTACAGAAGTGAATAATAGACTCTGAATTAACATTTACAGAACAGGAGGAGCTAGGAACTCAATATCGCCAGGAAGCTAAAATAAAGAATCACTCGGTATACATTTTAAAAAATGAAGATGAAAAGGTAGTTCATCTGAGAAGGCTTCACAAAATGAATACTAAGTAATATCAGGTAAGAGATCATTAGAAGTCACTAAAGAGTGGTGGCACAACCCTAGCTCCATGCTCCCTTTCTTTACAACCTTGGGCAGGGCAGTCATGCTATTTAAAATGTGAGTGGTCACTGGAAATCCAGACCATTAGTAGCAACACATCTTTTGTCTGTGCTCTGAATCCTGCTCCCATCACATGAGGGACCCTGCTCTACCCATTCCCTTTGATCTGGGCCCCTCCACCTCTATCACCCTCAGCTCTGAGAAGAGAAAGATGTCAAGTTTCTACAACACAAAATCAAATCCCCTGAAATTGCCAGGGAAACACAAAATTTGTCACGGTGGAAAAAGAGAAAAAGAAAAACTGTAAGGGAGGAGAACTACTCATACTATTTAGATATTCCAAAGGCTATTATAACTAAAATGGTGTGGTGAAAGCTGAAAGTGTTAGTTGCTCAGTCAGCTAAGCCACAAGGGAAGCCCAAGAATACTGGAGTGGGTAGCTGATCCCTTCTCCAGACGACCTTCCTGACCCAGAAATCAAACTGGGGTCTCCAGCATTGCAGGCGGATTCTTCACCAACTGAGCTATCAGGGAAGCCCTCTCCAAATGTAGCAGAACTCTAAATATTAAAAACTGGCACCAGAAGAAAACATGGGTGAATGCCTCTACAACCTGAGTACAGAAGTTTTTTATGACCCAGATGCAATAAAAGAGTAACAAAGCTGATTACATGGAAATAAAAGTAAACTTGTGTGGCAAAAAATACCATTAGCAAAACCAAAAAAATAAATGACAAAGTGGAAGAAAATATCTGCAACATATATTATGTATAAAGGCTAATATCTCGAATATACAATGTTTTAAAGTTAAAGAGACTAAAAATCCTACAGAAAATGGGTAAAGAACATGAACAGACAGTTCATATAAAGAAATACATAAATGGTCCTTAAGCATGTTTTCAATTTCACTCATAATAAGAGAAATGCAAATGAGAACTATACTAAGATCCCCTTTCTCACGTTAGATTGGCAAATATTCAAAACCTTAAAAATATACTCTTTGGGTGAGGCTGTGGAAACAGTCTCACACATTACTGAGAATGCAAATTGGCATAACCTCTGTTGAAGGAAATCTGCCAATATCTACACAACTATGTATGCATTATACTCCAATGCAGAAATCCCACCCAGGAATTTACACTGAAGATACACTTCCAACAATACAAAAGCATATGTGCACAAAGTTATTCATCGTAGTATTATTTTTAATTACAAAATCTAGAAAATCATCTACATGTCTAAGCATAGAAGACTGGTGTATATGGCACACACACACAATGGAGTACTAAAAAGAAGAGGAACATTTCTATAAATTGTTAGGGAGCAATTTCCAGGATATGCTGTAAAGCAAAAGACAGCATATATGCTACATCTTATGTAAGAAGGAAAATAAAAAATAACAAGCATATAACTGTTTCTCTTTTTAGTAATGAGAAAATCCACAAAACAGTGAAGGCTGTTTCCTATAAGGTATAGAGTGGGGGAATAGAACAGAAGAGAGAGGGGAGAGAGACACTGATTACAGCTTTCTGTATAGCTTTTACTCATGGAAGCATGATAATGTTTTGCAGATTCAAAAAATAAAATTAATAAGACTGGGAAAGGGGGAAAGCCACTAAACTATAAAGTGAATGGAAACCAATGAATTCATTTGTGTTTTACATGAATATGGTAAATGTAAGACCAAAACAAAAAAAAGGAAGAACTAATTCATGTCACTTGGGTACATAATATGTAACTTTGTAATACATACTCTCAGTTTTGGGAAGGCTGGAGTGAGCCGTGGGGAAGAGCTGCAAACAACAAGTTTGGGAAGGTTTGTTTCCTGTAGTGTTATGGGCAAAGCAATTCAGAAACAATTTTAGACCTATTACTAGACTGGGTAAATGTGTTGATTTAATTGGGAGCCAGAGGTCTTCTGGAGGAAGAAGGAACATCACAATATTGAGTAGGGTGAGACAAGAAAGACCCTGTGGGGACAAATCAGAGGCATTGCTGTGAACTTATGATTTCTAAATTATATACAAATGTGCACATTATATAAATGTACATTCACCTGCATGTATATTTGTATGTGGTGGTGGTGGTGTAGTCTATAAGTCGTGTCTGACTCTTGAGACCCCATGGACTGTAGTCCACCAGGTTCTTCTGCCCATGGGATTTTCCAGGCAAGAATACTGGAGTGGGTTGCCATTTCTTTCTCCAATATTTGTATGTATATGTGTGTAAATGTATATATATTCGCTAGCTTTGTCTGCTGAAAAGCTAAGAATCAAAAATATCTGAGTTAATGAGCACAATCCAGGACCTTGTTCTTGGACTCTACTATCATTATCTACCAAAATGAACCTGCAGGATTCCAGGCTGGGGCCAGGATAGGTATAAGATGAGCTGAGACATCGTTATGACAGCAAATATGAAAATGCTCAACAACGACAAAAAGATGATGTGGGCATATGACAAGACCACAAGAGCCAGCTTCAACACTGAATTTACGTTCCATAGCAATTATGTCAAGAATTATAAACCATTGAAAAGAGGATTACATGAGTTCATACAGGTACAAATGGGAGAAAGGGAGGCCTCCTGTTTACAGGAGAATGCCAGGGCTGGTTGGTAAATGTGGAGGGAATAGAGTTGGAAGAAAAAAAAAATCAGCATTCTGCAACTATCAGAGTAAAGACTTGGATCAGGGGAGAATTATCAAAGGATTCTAAGTCTAGGGGAATTCTCACGAGGAGCAGTATATATGCAAGGTCTTAAAATACACCTTCACAGACTGCAAGGGAAGAAACAGTAATTACATAGTGAAGAGATTAAAACATGGCTTGGCTGGTCATCTTAAATTAGTATCACCAATGGGGGCAGATAAACATCATGTGATTCTAGAAGTGACACCCTGAGAAGGACACATCACTTACAGAATGCATTACCTGAACTGAAAAATAAATATCAGGTAGATCAGATAAATCCAAAAAAAGGACATTCTACTAAAAGGTATTTATATTCTTCAAAAGTATCATTGTCATAAAATACAAAAGCTACAGAAATGCTTCATATTAAAGGAGGCTGAAGAGATTTGACCACTAAATTCAATACTTGATATCAACTGGATCTGTACTGGAGGTAAAGGCTGTTATTAAAAATAATTGTGTCAACGGATTTAACTGGAATATGTATGGTAAGTCAGGCAAAAGTCATTAACAACTTTAAGTTTACTGAAGCTGACAACGGCACTGTAGTTACGCAAGAGAATATCCCTATAAATACACACTGAAGTGTTAGAGATAAAGGGCCATGATATGTATGTTACCCTCAAATGGTTTAGAAAAATAGATATGCATGAAACAGCAAGAGAAAGAAGACAAAATGAAGTAAAAAGTTAACCACAGGTGAATGAATAAAGGGTATTTTTTTCACTATTTTTTAA